CCACCCAGCCTGTACTTGCACTTGGATTAGCTTTCTAGAAATATATATGTGTGTAAACAGGAAGGGGGAGGGAAAAAAACTCACCATTCCTGTTACTTAAGGATCGAGGAGACTGTGGAAGGTATGTGAGAATTAACACAATGAATAAGCATTTGATTTTAGTGTTCCCTGGTCTTAGGCAGGGGGTGTTGTTTAGGGCAGCGATGTGAACTCTCAGGGTTCATAAGCCGTAAGGAGAGGTACAGGAGAGGCTTGATTTTCCCCCCCCTTACTCAGGAATGCGTTAAAATAGCATTTTCTTTCTGAGCTTTTAACTTTTTTTCTGAGAGGAATTTTTAAGTTATGATTGTCAAGAGGTCTTTAAAGTTTCAAGAAAAAAAGACAAAAATTCTAGCTCAGTAATGTGATGTACTGTAGGATTTAGGAAATGTAGTTTTCTGTGACTTCTTCTCATAAAGTCACTTTCTTCTGTAGGTCCTCTAATATCTCAAGCAGTATGTCCTGCCCTCTTCCTCAGTGCAGCTGCTACTTTGAGTGCTTATCCTCTGAGTAACATTTTTTCTATCAGGCAGTGTAATCATCAAGGCTGTTACTTAGGAAACAGGAAGAAAATGTTTCTTTTTAGATAAATGTGTTCTATAGTGAAAGAAAGAAATACTTTGTAGGGTTTTTTCTGGTTTTGGTTTGGTTGGTTGGTTTGGTTTTTTTAGCCTTTTGGTTATCTAGACTGTTAGCCCCATTCAAATTTAGTTTAAAGCAAGCTAACTAGGAATAAAAATGTGTGTTCCCACAGTGTGCAACCGTAGTTAGTCTGTGCGAGAGAGTATTTAGTTTGGAATGTAATGACAGCAGTTCATTTGTTTTGAATAGGACATACCTAACCAATTCTGTCGAGACCCTAGCAGTCTGCATGAAATTCTCAGGTCAGTTGCAAATACGTGATTTGTGTGGTGGTTTGGGTTTTTTGGTTTTTTGGTTTTTTTAATGATCAGCTTTAGCCACTTGCAGTAAACTGGAGTTTCATTCTTGTCATACTTGCTTATTCTTCAATTTAGGAGATTTGTTCGTACAAGTAGATGTCCCCTTATATTTATAATCTCGGATAACTTCAGTGGAGACAGCAACCAAAGGTTACTATTCCCAAAGGAAGTGCTAGAGGAGTTCTGTATATCCAACATTAGGTAAGACCTTTTATCTCGTTAAAATTTGATTGAAATAAATGAGAAGTCAGAAACTAATTAATTTTTTTTAAATGAAATTCAACAGTTTCAAGCCTGTTGCACCAACAAATATGATGAAAGTTCTTAATCGGATAGCTGCAACAGAAGCTAGTCTGGTAAGTTGTCAAAACTGGTAACCTCTGTGCAGTGCTAGGACCAAAAGATTGCTCAGACTTTATCTGAAATATGTTGTTTATATTTCTGACTGTATTTGTTTGATCTTTGGTAGCAGACTGCCACACTGGCCCCCCAAAATAGCATTGATTCCTCCCAACAGAAGACAAAGGAGGAAACTGCAAAGGTGTCTTGTTTTTAAGATTAGTTCCACGTGATCCTTGGTATAAGGCTTCAAAGTTATTTCTGAAAATACTTCTGCCTATTACAGAAAAAATATATATGAAACAAATATTAGGAATAGAAGTGATTTTCACTGTATGCCGTGAGGCCAGAAGAGATCACAAACCTAAATCCTGTATTATTCCCTAACTCCTTGGCTTACAACCAAATCTAATATTCAGTGACACCTTGCAAAGATTTATGTGCATTATTTTCTCTAATACTGCTGTATAAAATGTGGCAGTGTGTATAAATGGATTAAATGTTTTAAAGTTAGCAGCATCACATGGTTTGAGGACAGGGTGGGTGCTCACGTAGTCTGTTTATGGTGTGTATCAGAGGTGGGTCCCTACAACCCGAATAATATTCATATACTCCTTTTCCTGCTCTTTCTTACTATTTTGAATGTTGCTTTTCCTTGTAGAACAGAGAAAAGAGTTATGCTCTTGATAGAGCTTCTCTGGAGTTGCTTTGCAGAGGTTGTTCAGGTGATATAAGAAGTGCAATAAACAGTCTTCAGTTTTCATCTATGAAAGGTACGTACCGATGAATTTAAGCGAATGACGTTTTGACCATTTCTGCTGTGAAGGTATTCTGTTGACATGCAGCTCTGGAGCAGGAATAAAAGGCACGAAGTTGTGGGGTGGGGTTGCGTGTTTTTTTTTTTTTTTTTTTTTGGAATGAAGCTGAAAACGTTCCGTTTCCTAACAGTTACATGTAGTCTCGAAACTGAGTAACATCTGCTACGTATGTGTTGACATAACTCAATGAAATGCCTTCCTTTCTTATCGATATCTTTTGGTTGGCGTGTGTTTACTGTTTGAAGCTTTTATGATGCAACCTTAATTTGAAAGGGATATTTTCATTGCTTGGTTCTTGCACGTCTCCAGGTCCTTATCTCTACTCTGACAGTATTTCTGAAATAGCCCACTGACTTCATATGCAGCATTTCTGTAATGATTAGTCTTGCTTTGGAGTTTCTGTGGCTGTTGATAATTGAAAAGTTTTGGGGCTGGCATGACCTACGATGGAGTTATTGCATGTATTCTAGAGTAACCTTGAAGTTCAGTGTTTTAGTAGTCTTCAGAGTAATTGGTTGGACAGTGCTCACATCAGACTTAGTTTGGGATTATTTTAAATGTTCCATCATCAAAAGAAAACATACTTACTGTTTTGTCTTTTAGAAGCATTGGAAGTCAATAATTGTTAAGAAACCAACGTTTGGGAGTTACATAATTTGTGTTTTTTTTAAAAAGCAGTCCGCTGGCACATGTACTTCATTCTGAAAACTGGTAGATAGTGCCAGCATTCACATTCAACCTAGAGATAAGGAAGCGAATTCAGTAGTTGCGTTCTGCTGTATGTGGTAAAGCTAGCAATGACCTTGTTGCTTTTACTGTTTTTCTCTGCCTTGCAAGTAGAAAATGTGCTCATGGAACACAAGATGAACTGTAGTTTGAAGTCCTTGTTGTAAGAGGGAGTGTTGTGGTTTGAGTTCTAGAGTGTGTTGCAATTAACTTAGCTGTGTTTATCAAATTATGCCAGGGAGAGGCTAAATTTTTGAGGTTTAACTTGCAGATGTGGAAACGAAATTCTTCTGAGGTTGTCTTCTAGTGTGCTAAGTTTGTATTGTTCTTTGTTAATCAGAAAAACGAAAAATTCCCCTCAGTAGAACCGTTTTGATGATAATGCCATGGAGTTAAATAGTAGGTTGGTGATACCTGAGAAGTTTGCAGTAGCTCACTGCTGGATGCTAGGTAGCTTCTATGTGCTTTAGACAATCGAACTCTTAAGGCTTAAAACGAAAGCCTTGAAACGACCAGTTTGTGTAATTTTTAATAAATATCCTTGGAAATGTGAAAACATGGGTGTTACGAAGACAACTTGGGAGAAAACAAAGGCATACGTCTTGACAGCTTCTGCACACAGTATCTCAGAATTCTGTGCTCACGTCACACCACTCCCAACATTCTCTTCTCTCATTTTCTCTAACTGATGGAGAAGAGCTGCCCTCACATGGAAGAGAAACTTGTTCAGGTATTTCAGTTAGGTAAAGGTTTGGCAGCCAGTGATACTTTGTAAAATTTGGAGATACCTCACCTCCGTGTTGATCTCCTGATAATGCAGTATTACTTTTTACATATGCATAATTCCTTTTTCCACTCGTGGGTATGTGTAAACACAAGCGATACGTTCCCTTTATAGAAGCATTAATGGGTAAAATAGATCTGTGGTAACTGTGGCAGGAAAGAAGGATAAATACTTAAGAGTAAGTTCTTTTAGCTCAGTAAGGAACGTCAATCTGCCACTAAATCAAATTGTGGTCTAAAATTTCTGAGTTTTAAATTACAGGAGAAGGCTATGCTTTTTCTTTTTTTTGTTGGAGCTCAAAGCATAGTGGAAATTAGTGGGCTGTTGGAAGAATCACCTCAATGAAAGGTTTTCTTTGTCACCTTATATGTCAGTGAGGGTATTACAGACATAATGCAAATTGCAGACAAACTGATAAGTGAACAGAATGTAACTGAAACATAGTTTACGTATATTTGCACTTGTACTTTATAACAAAGAGATTTTTTAAGAAGGGTAAGTTGGGGATGCATCAGAACTGGGATGAATAAGCAAGAATGCTAACTCTTTTTAAAAGGGAGAGGTTTATAATTCAGAAAAGTACCTGGCACTTTAGCTGTGGCTCAAGGGACAGGTGGAATGAAGCATGTTAGTTTAGGTGACTGGGTTGTCTTCCTAATAAATGAGTTTTCTCTAACTGCCTCAATTATATAACCTCTTCTGGTCTTCTTGGTTTGTTCTTTAAATTTTTTTTTTTTTTTTTTTTGTTTGGGGTGGTGTTTTCTTTTTTTTAAGAACATTAGCAGTAGAAATATCATATAAAACTTTTTGGATTCGTATTACTTTATCCTGATTGTATTTTTGCTTTAATTGATAGACTGCTCATTGGAGAAGGAGTTTTGGTCAAGGAAGAAAAAATGTGAACAAGCAGTATCTAAAGTAAGGAAGAAAAATAAATCTGATACTTCAGAAGACCAGGACATACAAGCTATCGGTGGCAAAGATGCTTCCATCTTTCTATTCCATGCTCTGGGGAAAATAATTTACTGCAAAAGTAAGAAATCTTTGACTTCCTTTCAATGGGCAAAACATGCCAGACTTGCTAAAGTAAGGCTTAGGGTGACCTCTAATGTGCATGTTTGGTTATTAGTAACAGTATAAAAGCAGTAATAAAAGTTTGTGGTAAATGTGACTGTGCCTTTTTGTATCTGTTAGGTAAATAAATGAAATCTCAATGAAACATTTATGTAATAAAATCACATAGTTCTATTCGTCTTAGATCACAGAATCACAGAATGGTTTGGGTTGGAAGGGAACTTAAAGACCATCTAGTTC